GTAGAGAAACGCCCACTCTAACAACACGAAAAGTTCTCATCTGTTAGCTTTGAAATTATAAGGGGGTTTACAATTCTACCCGCAGGTGAGGCCCCACTCTCACCCTCCCACCGGTCCGCTCTGTGGTGGAAGCCACCTCAGATACCTGGCTGCACACCCCCCCCCCACTTCCTGCCATCGACCCCACTCACCCGCCACTGCTTTAATGAACGTGCCTCTGCTGTCCTTTCCCATGTTCCGCCACGTTCTTGGTGTCACCCTCTGCAAAAGAACAGGGCTCTGTCGGAACAGGCATGTCGATTCCCGCTCAAAGGCTCACGGCTCACTGCTAAGTTAAGTCCAAATACATCAGCCTGGCCCTGTCTCCCCTTTTCCCACAAACGAGGTACACAGTCCCCCCCTGCAGTCTCTCCCCTTCCCTCGCCAGGCCCCACCACCTGTGTGTCCTGGCCCCGCCCGCAATTCTGGCCTCATCTGCTGTCACTCTCCCCTTCCCTTAGACACTCCAGCTGCACTGATGGCTTAGTTGCTTCCAACCTCAAGATTTTCACACCTGTTGTTACTAAAAACCCACTTGGCTTATTGTTTGAATTTCCTGTTTGACATTAGCTGCATGATGGCAGGGACTGACTGGCCTGCCATGTTCACAGATGTAACCCAACTTCCAGCACAAAATGAAGAATAGAATAAAGAATGAATAAGCAGAGATTGCTTGATAAATGCTTAATCATGATATGATAGATGCATGGAATGATTCAATCAATTATTGGGTGAAAAGATGGGTGGATGGATAAAGATAGATGGATGCATGATTGAATAAATTATTAAATGGATGATGAATGGATAGATGATTGAATTATTGGATGGATGGAGCAATGGATAACTGAATGGAATGATGGTGTCAGCCACATTTTCCAATTCTGTGAATGAAAGTCTCTCCAATCCCAGGTTCTGATGTTTGATGTTTACCATGAAACCACATTTGCTATGAATGCCTCTCAACTTACACCTCCTCCATGCCCCCTCCCCCATCAGACAACAGGTCTTTTAAGTTGTTTGCCAATCCTAGCTTCTATTTTGTCTTCTATGAGACATCCCTGAGCTGCTGCCCCAGTCCCTCTCAGTCACCAGTCTAGCGGCTCCTCCACCCTCCAGCCTGCAGCCTAAAATGGCTCCTGTCCATGTCAGATGCCACCTGGAGGACTGCCCAGGTTGGAGAGACTTTCAGAACAGACATATCTTGGCATCCCACCCCCTCAACCCCAGAGTGTCATCTGATGGCATAAGAACACCTGGGGAGGGTATGGCCGCTTCCCTTCTCAGCAGCTTCACACTATAGTTCTCCTGTGAGTCCCTGGGCCTTTATTTTTCTTCTCTACCCAAGAATGATCATTGTCCTTTTTAGGACTCTGTAAAGCAAAAATGGTTTCTTCTCTTACCTGGATATTTTTTGTCAACTGTATGTCTTCGGAGTGGCTCTTCTGGAAAACAAGTGAGAGGATTAAACGCCTTTCAGGGATTTTATCCGGCCCAAACTACTTTCATGCGAATTCTAAAGAATCGCTTGTGTTTTTCATTCTCATTCTATCGAGAATGCACAGTAGACTCAGCCAGAGGCTACATGGCTTTGGTATTGCAGCTGATCCAATGCAGAAGCAGATGTGAGAATCCAGCCTTCTTACTTCATATACAGAATTGTAAAAATGTAGAACCATACCATTCCTCTCACTGGTGTTTTTTTCTGTTGAAAAAAATGTTAATTTTTTTTTAAAAAATGTTACTTCTGTTTACTACATAATGAATTTATCATTGTTATTTTAATGAATTAATACATAAATATTTTCAGTGTCCCAGCTTTAGTTTCTAATATGGGAAATATCACAGTCACACAGAGAAGTGCTCTGGGGATCCCCATTATTTTTTTAGTATAAAGGGGTCCTGAGCCCAATGATGAACTGGAAGCAAAATTACAGCATATTGTTTAGCAAGTGGCATTACAAAATATGTTCACATGGGGAGTAAATGGTATTGTTTTAGTCCTTTCAAAAGAGATTCAAATGTCATTACTGCAAATGACAAAGTAACTCGAGAATGAATCTTCACTTAACTGCTTCACCAGTCCTCTCTGAGCCTCAGTTTTCTCACCTGGAAATGGGCATAAAGTCACTACCTCTTCAGTTATTGTGAGGATGAAAAGAAGTAATTTCATTTACAACACATATGTGCAAATATTAGGAGGAACCATATGAAATTGCCATTTTGTGTGTTAAAAAGTGGTCAACTTTTGGCAATTTCCTATGTCTCAAATGGCTTCTACCTGTTGAGTGCCATTAACCCCACCTCTTCCCTCAGCCCCCACAGCAGGAAAACATTTGGGGGAGAGTGGACATCTGGTCAGAATACAATATTTCACATGCCAATGCCAATATTGGGCAGCTCACGTCTCCCCTGCAGCGGCTCAGCCATGCCTGACAGCTGCAACACTAACAGATCACATTTATGCACCTGAAACTCATACCATGTTATATGTTAACTAGAGGCCCGGTGCATGAAATTCATGCGGGGGGGGGGGACCCCCTCACCCCAGCCTGCACTCTCTCCAATCTGGGACCCCTCAGGAAATATCCAACTGCTGGTTTAAACCGGCAGTCAGACATCCCTCTCACAATCCAGGACCACTGGCTCCTAACTGCTCACCTGCCTGCCTGCCTGGTCACCTCCAACTGCCCCCCCCTGCCAACCTGGTCACCCCGAACTGCCCCCCACTGGCCTGGTTGCCCCTAACTGCCGCCCCTGCAGGCCTAGTCACCCCCAAATGCCCCCCTGCTGGCCTGGTTGCACCACACAGCCTGGTGCTCAGTTGTTTGGTCGTCCCTCACTAAGCCCCCTGCCGGCCTTGTCACCCCACTCAGCTTGTTCGGTCGTCCATTCAGTTGTTTCGGATGTGACTGCCCCTGGCTCTTCCTATATATATATAGATTTTATCTCAATTAAAAAAGCACCTTATGCCTAGCTGGACATTTTGTTTCCTTTTGTGCTATGGTCACCGTCTGGGTGTTTGGGACCAGCACTGACAGCTATTGTACAGGCAGCAGGGGCCAAGGCGGGCAACCCGCATGCGGGGTGGAGAGCTTATCTGCAATCAGCCAGGTGCTAGGACCTTTCCAGGCCCGAGGCGCCCTGAAACAT